CAAATGGTCAGTCTGCCCCTGGTGAGGAGGATTCTGGGAGGTCACATGACATCACTCTTCTCTCTATTAATCAAACACAGACCTGACCGGAGAGGTGAGGAGGATTCTGGGAGTCTTAATATGATATTCCTATTGGTTCCCCAATACAGAGATTTCCTCTTCTGAAGTCAGGTGATCATATGACCATCACAGTGCCTCCATGTGACTCCCTAAACCCCGAGAGACACAACATGGAGAAGATTCTAGAAGTCACCAAGAAGATGATGGAGCTGCTGACAGGAGAGGTGAGCGGTTCTGGGAATTCTGGGACATTCTCCAGTAACAGACAAGGGATGTGTCTGGATGGTGACTGTATCATTGTGTGTGTCAGGTTCCTATAAGGTGTCAGGGTGTCACTGTCTATTTCTCCATGGAGGAGTGGGAGTATTTAGAAGGACACAAGGACCTCTACAAGGACATCATGATGGACAATCAGCCGCCCCTCACATCACCGGGTAAGAGGAGACTTTATTGGAAAGGAGAGAGCAGTACGGAGGGTCCACATAGATCCCCCATCATCTGATAAACACATAGAAACAATGGATTCAGTCAGTGTGTGTGTTTCCTACAGATGGATCCAGTCATGGGAACCCACCAGAGAGATGTCCCCGTCCTCTGTATTCCTGGGATTCCACACAGGAAGGTCACACCATCCCTTACCATCATCAGGTAGGTGGATCCAGTCATGGGAACCCACCAGAGAGATGTCCCCGTCCTCTGTATTCCTGGGATTCCACACAGGAAGATCACACCATCCCTCACCATCATCAGGTAGATGAGACTCAGCATGTAGACCTAATATAGTCTAAGCCAGGGGTCTGCAACCTTTAAGACATAAAGAGCCACTTGGACCCGTTTCCGAGAGGAAAAAAAAGACTGGAGAGCCGCAAAACCATTGCAACATTTAAAACAAATCCGACACTGCATATATTGCAAAAAGCGCTCTGGTCATGAAGGGGGTTTAAGGGCCCAGTAAGCAAAGGGTTAATCAGGGCCACAGTGTATCGTCATAATCACAATCATAGCCTTAGGTCAGTGGTGGGCAACCTTTTTTTTCAACTGAGCCAAATCTTGCCAAAACCACGATTGAAATTTATTTTGAGAGCCACATTTTTAAAACTGAAAATACATCCCCCATATAGTAATTCATCCCCCATAGTAATTCATCCCCCATAGTAATTCATCCCCCATAGTAATTCATCCCCCATAGTAATTCATCCCCCATAGTAATTCATCCCCCATATAGTAATTCATCCCCCATAGTAATTCATCCCCCATATAGTAATTCATCCCCCATAGTAATTCATCCCCCTATAGTAATTCATCCCCATATAGTAATTCATCCCCCATAGTAATTCATCCCCCATATAGTAATTCATCCCCCATATAGTAATTCATCCCCCATATAGTAATTCATCCCCCATATAGTAATTCATCCCCCATATAGTAATTAATCCCCCATATAGTAATTAATCCCCCATATAGTAATTCATCCCCCATAGTAATTCGTCCCCCATAGTAATTCATCCCCCCTATAGTAATTCATCCACCATATAGTAATTCATCCCCCATAGTAATTCATCCCCCATAGTAATTCATCCCCCATATAGTAATTCATCCCCCATATAGTAATTCATCCCCCATATAGTAATCATCCCCCATAGTAATTCATCCACCATATAGTAATTCGTCCCCCATAGTAATTCGTCCCCCATAGTAATTCATCCACCATATAGTAATTCATCCACCATATAGTAATTCATCCCCCATATAGTAATTCACCCCCCCATATAGTAATTCATTCCCCATATTAATTCATCCCCCATATTAAGTCCCCAAGTCCCCCCTGTGTCAATTCACTTACCTTTGCTCCGCGCGTTCCTCTCGCCGTGTTCCCGCGCCGTTCCGGTGTAGCATGAAAATCTGTCTCCTATGAGGATCTGTCCCCCTCGACGTATCTGCGCATGTGCCAGTTTCAGGCATTAGCAGCCGATCGGCGATCTCCGGCACATGCGCAGATACGTCGAGGGGGACAGATCCTCATAGGAGACAGATTTTCATGCTACACCGGTCTTCAGGGCGGACTGTGAGAGGAGCCTAGCGGGAGCCTAGCTCCGCGGGCCGGATTAAAAGGTCCGCCGGGCAGTAGTTTGCCCATTGCTGCCCTATTTCCTGTCACCTGGTGGGCAGTGTGCTCCGGAGCCGCAGCCAAGGTGAAAAAGAGCTGCATGCGGCTCTGGAGCCGCGGGTTGCCGACACCCGGTCTAAGCTATGTAATCTCTTGTTTCTGTTTATAATTTTTTTTAATGTTCTTTGGGGTTTAGGATGAAGAACTGACAGACATCAAACTTGAGGTAAAAGAGGAAGAAGAGACGTTGGTGAGTGGAGCTCAGCTGTCTATAGAGGAGGGTTGTCCTCTGTATTCCCGGGATTCTACATGGGAAGATCACCGTTATACAGAGGTAGATTCTATGAGTAGACATTCTTCTGTGTAATTTTGTGTTCTTTTTTTCTAAATGTATTCTGTCATCTCTGGAATTTAGAGTGAAGAACTAAAAGACATCAAAGTTGAGGTTAAAGAAGAAGAAGAGGAGACGTTGGTGAGTGGAGATCAGCAGTTTATGAAGGAGGGTTGTCCTCTGTCTTCCTGGGATTCCACCCAGGAACATCTCAACTATAGAGAGAATGATCATGTAGATGGGACTGGGCAAAAATAATACCACGAGAGGACATTCTTCTATGTATTCTCTTCTTATTGGTAGCAGTGTTTACTGATGTCATATTCTATCATCTTTGGGGTTTAGGGTGAAGAACTGAAAGACATCAAAGTTGAGGTTAAGGAGGCAGAAGAAGAGAGGTTGGTGAGTGGAGATCAGCAGTCTATGGAGGAGGGGGAGATGATTATGGAATGTAAACAGGAGGAATCTTCTCTACATACGGACACAAGTAAGTCAATAAGCAATACAGAAACAGATCACATTTCATTGTATTTGTTACATTTGTAGATGGGTTGAATATAGACATATATCAGGTGTTCAGTGATGTGAAGGGGGGGGGGGGGCTGTGATGTGAAGGGGGGCTGAGGACACTGATGTAAAGGTGGGGCTGTAATGTGAAGGGGGAGCTGAGGACACTGATGTAAAGGGGGGGGGGGCAGTGATGGGGGTCTGATGACACTGATGTAAGGGGGAGGCTGTGATGTGAAGGGGGAGCTGAGGACACTGATGCAAAGGGGGAGGCTGTGATGTGCAGGGGGAGCTGAGGACACTGATGTAAAGGGGGGGCTGTGATGTGAAGGGGAGCTGAAGACACTGATGTAAGGGGGGGGGGGGGGCTGTAATGTGAAGGGGGAGCTGAGGACACTGATGTAGAGGGGGAGGCTGTGATGTGCAGGGGGAGCTGAGGACACTGATGTAAAGGGGGGGGGGGGGGGGGGGGCTGTGATGGGGGTCTGATGACACTGATGTAAAGGGGGACTGTGATGTGAAGGGGGAGCTGAGGACACTGATGTAAAGGGGAGGCTGTGATGTGCAGGGGGAGCTGAGGACACTGATGTAAAGGGGGGGGGGCTGTGATGGGGGTCTGATGACACTGATGTAAAGGGGGACTGTGATGTGAAGGGGGAGCTGAGGACACTGATGTAAAGGGGGGAGGCTGTGATGTGCAGGGGGGGGGGAGCTGAGGACACTGATGTAAAGGGGGGGCTGTGATGTGAAGGGGAGCTGAAGACACTGATGTAAAGGGGGGGGGGGCTGTAATGTGAAGGGGGAGCTGAGGACACTGATGTAGAGGGGGAGGCTGTGATGTGCAGGGGGAGCTGAGGACACTGATGTAGAGGGGGAGGTTGTGATGTGCAGGGGGAGCTGAGGACACTGATGTAAAGGGGGGGCTGTGATGGGGGGCTGAGGACACTGATGTAAAGGGGGGGCTGTGATGTGAAGGGGGAGCTGAGGACACTGATGTAAAGGGGCTGTGATGGGGGGCTAAGGACACTGATGTAAGGGGGGGGGGGCTGTGATGGGGGGCTGAGGACACTGATGTAAAGGGGGGGCTGTGATGTGGAAGGGGGAGCTGAGGACACTGATGTAAAGGGGGGGCTGTGATGTGGAAGGGGGGGCAGAGGACACTGATGTAAAGGGGGGGCTGTGATGTGAAGGGGGAGCTGAGGACACTGATGTAGAGGGGGAGGCTGTGATGTGCAGGGGGAGCTGAGGACACTGATGTAAAGGGGGGGGGGGGCTGTGATGGGGGGCTGAGGACACTGATGTAAAGGGGGGGCTGTGATGTGAAGGGGAAGCTGAGGACACTGATGTAAAGGGGCTGTGATGGGGGGCTGAGGACACTGATGTAAAGGGGGGGGGGGGGCTGTGATGGGGGGCTGAGGACACTGATGTAAAGGGGGGGCTGTGATGTGGAAGGGGGAGCTGAGGACACTGATGTAAAGGGGGGGGCTGTGATGTGGAAGGGGGGGGCAGAGGACACTGATGTAAAGGGGGGGCTGTGATGTGAAGGGGGAGCCAGACCAATATCTATGACTCCTGAATGCACACCTAGAACAATATTTGTCATTCTTGTCACCCCCAGGCGGACGTTTTGTCCTGAACACCTCGGGGGGAGATCAGGTTTTGTCTCCAGATCTTCAGGCAGAAGATGATGACATCACACAACGTTCTCCAGGACGAGATCCCGTAAATCCCGAGGAATCTTCTGATCAATCCGGTACTATGACGTCATATCTGAGATCTGATGGTGCGGGTCAATCAACGCCTCCATCCAACCCCGAGCAGTCTTCATTATGGGATGGAGGTTACACAGAAGAGCCTTCATGGCCACCTTCAGACTGTGAGAAATCACACCGAGCACTACTGAACCAGCAGATGAATCCCTCGGGACAGCGTCCTTTTTCATGCTCAGAGTGCGGGAAATGTTTCATTAGGACAGGACACCTTCAAATACACCAGAAAACTCACACGGGTGAACGTCCCTTTTCATGTCCAGTTTGCGGGAAATCTTTCACGGACAAAGGGACACTTAATAGACACCAGAGAATTCATACAGGGGAGCGTCCTTTTTCATGTTCTGAGTGCGGGAAATGTTTTATTCAGAAATGGGAACTTCTTATACACCAGAGGAGTCACACATGCGAGTATCCTTTTTTATGCGCAGAGTGCGGGAAATGTTTCACTTCGCAAAAAAACCCTTTTAAGGCACCACAGAGTTCATACTGGTGAGCGTCCCTATTCATGTTCAGAGTGCGGGAAAAGTTTCACTCAAAAAGGAGAGCTTGATGAACACAAGAGAAGGCACACAGGTGAGCGTCCTTTCGCATGTTCAGAGTGCGGGAAAAGTTTTGTTAGAGTACAGCACCTTCTTACACACCAGAGAATCCACACGGGTGAGCGTCCTTTTCCCTGTTCAGAGTGCGGGAAATGTTTTACTGACAGAATAGGACTTCGTATACACCAGAGAAGTCACACCGGTGAACGTCCTTTTTCATGTACAGAGTGCGGGAAGTGTTTCACCGAGAAAGGAAAACTTCTCAGACACCACAGAATTCACACGGGTGAGCGTCCTTATTCCTGTTCTGAGTGCGGGAAATGTTTCACTCAGAAGCAACACCTTTTTTCGCATCAGAGGCGCCACAAGGGCGAGCGTCCTTTCTCCTGTACAGAGTGCGGGAAATGTTTCACCATGAAAGGATCCCTTGTTAAACACCAGAAAATCCACTCGGGTGAGCGTCCTTTCTCATGTGCAGAGTGCGGGAAACGTTTTGGCTTGAAAGAAGTCCTTCTCAAACACCAGAGGATTCACACAGGTGAGCGGCCTTTCTCATGCTCAGAGTGCGGGAAAAGCTTTACAAACCAAAGGAATCTAATCAGGCACCAGAAAATTCACAAAAAATGATGCTATTGATGGCTGCATGGTGGCATTTAACGGGAGAAGACGTTGGATACGTAGAGGAGTAAAAAAAAAAAAATGTTTTAAAGAGATACATCCTTGCCAAAGAGACATTTCAGTAAGAGGCGGAGTCTATGGGGCTGAGCCTCCTATTGGCTTCTATTGGTTTCTTGACGGCCCCTGTGGGAGATCTGACTGTTGAAATTCCTGGTTCCTTTCCCACCCCCATTGGGATGTCTCCATGTCTATCTTTCCATTCTCAACAAGAAAGGTAGAAAGAGGGGGCGTGGCTTGGCAGCAGAGCAAGATGGACGCCTGAAGCCTCAGTTGCGCTCTGCCCGGAGATTTCTGGCAACAGTTCAGCGCCCTCGTCCGCCTCATCTTACTCCCGCTGGGATTAGTGAACCCTGAAGGACATGTCCCACAAGGAAAACAAAGTCTCGGGACTCCACAGGCCTACAGATTTTCTTCAGTAAGCCATCAATTGCATCCCGAAATGGTACAGAATAGACAGGGAGGCCAAGGAGGAATGACACCAACGCTTACAATGAGATGGTAGAAGCACGTGATGGCCAACGTAGACAAGAAGGCCAAGGGGGAATGACACCAAAGCTTCCAATGAGATGGTAGATGCACACGATGACCAATGTAGACAGGGGAGACAAGGGGGAATGACACCAAAGCCTACAATGAGATGGTAGATGCACCCGATGGCCAACGTAGAGAGGGAAGCCAAGGGGGAATGACACCAAAGCCTAAAATGAGATGGTAGATGCACACAATGACCAATGTAGATAGAGATGCAAAGGGGGAATGACTCCAAAGCTTCCAATGAAATGGTAGATGCACATGATGACCAACATAGACAGAGAAGCCAAAGAGGAATTGCACCGAAGCTTCCAAGGAGATGGTAGATGCACGTGATGACCAACATAGACAGGGAAGCCAAGGGGGAATGACACCAAAGCTACTATGAGATGGTAGATGCACGTGATGGCCGACATAGATAGAGAAGCCAAAGGGAAATTACTCCAAAGCCTACAATGAAATGGTAGATGCATACAATGACCAACGCAGACAGAGAAGCCAAAAGGGGGAATTACACCAAAGCCTACAATGAGAAGGCAGATGCACACGATGACCAACATAGACAGGGAAGCCAAAGGGGGGGAATTACACCAAAGCCTACAATGAGATGGTAGATTCACGTGATGGCCAACATCGAGAAGCCAAAGGGGGGAATTACACCAAAGCCTACAATGAGATGGTAGATTCATGTGATGGCCAACATCGAGAAGCCAAAGGGGGGAATTACACCAAAGCCTACAATGAGATGGTAGATGCACACGATGACCAACATAGACAGAGAAGCCAAAGGGGGGAATTACACCAAAGCCTACAATAAGATGGTAGATGCACACGATGACCAACATAAACAGAGAAGCCAAATGGGGGGAACGACACCAAAGCCTACAATGAGATGGTAGATGCACTTGATGGCCAACATAGACAGAGAAGCCAAGGGGGAATGACACCAAAGCCTACAATGAGATGGCTGCCATTGTGCTACATGCTGGGGTCCTGTGCACTCCTTTGCCTTTAAGAGGGGTGGGCTCCCTCAGGTTCACCTGCCCTTGATCTATCCATTAAATGCATGTGCCTTTACTATGGGGACTCTGAAATTGTAGAGTTAGGACCACAGATTATCAGGGTGCCATGACGTGGCTCTGTGGCTTACGTATGTATTTGCAAATGTGTGCTAACTAAACCCCTGTTATAAACGCATACTGTTAGGTTAATTTGGTCATTAGCAAGCTGGCTGGCAAGTTGTCCAAGAACATTGTTCTCTCTCTTTTATTCACTATGTGATGCCTGTTTATGTGTCCTTGCTTCATAAGCCAGTTATAGACTTGGGCAGGTGCCCATTTTTATTTGGAATTACACCAAAGCCTACAATGACATGGTAGATGCACGTGATGGCCAACATAGACAGGGAAGCCAAGGGGGAATGACACCAAAGCCTACAATGAGATGGTAGATGCACATGATGACCAACGTAGACAGAGAAGCCAAGGGGCAATTACACCAAAACCTACAATGAGATGGTAGATGGATGTGATGACCAACGTAGACAGAGAAGCCAAAGGGGAATGACACCAAAGCCTACAATGAGATGGTAGATGCACCCGATGGCCAACGTAGAGAGGGAAGCCAAGGGGGAATGACACCAAAGCCTACAATGAGATGGTAGATGCACGTGATGGCCAACATAGACAGAGAAGCCAAAGGGGAATGACACCAAGGCCTACAATGAGATGGTAGATGCACACGATGACCAACGTAGACATGGAGGCCGAGGGGGAATTACTCCAAAGCCTACAATGAGATAGTAGATGCACATGATGGCCAACATAGATAGAGAAGCCAAGAGGGAATGACACCAAAGCTTCCAATGAGATGGTAGATGCACGTGATGGCCAATGTAGACAGAGAAGCCAAGGGGGAACGACGCCAAAGCCTAGAATGAGATGGTAGATGCACGTGATGGCCAACATAGGGAAGCCAAAGGGGAATTACTCAAAAGCCTACAATGAGAAGGTAGATGCACGTGATGACCAACGTAGACAGAGAAGCCAAAGGGGAATGACACCAAAGCTTCCAATGAGATGGTAGATGCCCGTGATGACCAACATAGACAGGGAAGCCAAGGGGGAATGACACCAAAGCCTACAATGAGATGGTAGATGCACACGATGACAACGTAGACAGAGAAGCCAAAGGGGAATGACACCAAAGCTTCCAATGAGATGGTAGATGCACGTGATGACCAACATAGACAGAGAAGCCAAGGGGGAATGACACCAAAGCCTACAATGAGATGGTAGATGTACACGATGACCAACGTAGACAGAGAAGCCAAAGGGGGAAAGACACCAAAGCTTACAATGAGATGGTAGATGCACGTGATGGCCAACATAGACAGAGAAACCAAGGGGGAATTACTCCAAAGCCTACAAGGAGATGGTAGATGCACATGGTGACCAACATAGACAGTGAAGCCAAGGGGAATTACACCAAAGCCTACAATGAGATGGTAGATACATAAAATGACCAACGTAGACAGAGAAGCCAAGGGGGAATTACTCCAAAGCCTACAATGACATGGTAGATGCACGTAATGGCCAACATAGACAGGGAAGCCAACGGGGAATTACACCAACGCTTCCAATGAAATGGTAGAGGCACAGGATGACCAACATAGACAGAGAAGCCAAGGGGAAATTACACCAAACCTTCCAATGAGATGGTAGATGCACACGATGACCAACATAGACAGGGAAGGCCAGGGGGAATGACACCAAAGCCTACAATGAGATGGTAGATGCACGTGATGACCAACATAGACAGAGAAGTCAAAGGGGAATTTCTCCAAAGCCTACAATGAGATGGTAGGTGCACGTGATGACCAACATAGACAGAGAAGCCAAAGAAAAATTACAGCAAAGCCGACAATGAGATGGTAGATGCACACGATCAACATAGAGGAGTTCCAACACCCCAAAAGCAAGACTGCTGATAACCCAAAATTCAGAGGTATTCCTATATTTATCAATCACAAGATAATACCATATCTTTTGTAATTATTTCTCAAACTCCACCCCTCATGACCTCATCATTAATCGAGCACATAGAATCCTTGCATGTAAACATCTACCTGCCTCTACCTAGAGACGTATTGGTTCGAATATACTTCTTCCATGTCAAAGAACAACTCTTAGCAGATACTCCTGCACGCACTCCGATCCGTATTCGCATATCTCACTCTTTACAGATATTTCAGCTGTTACAGCTCAAGGAGGTTCCTCCAATCACCAAAGCACTCCGAGAGGGCAACATCCCCATAGGTCGGACTAATCCATAAAAATCCTGATGGCCTACCAAAATCAGATGGTGGCCATACTGATGCCAAAATCGATAACTAACTAGCATCCCCTCACGTCAGTCTTGGCAAACCAAAACACCCTCCAGAATTGCTGACTCCTAGTCCACAGCAGGTAACACCTAATTGTTCAGGATCTCCTCCCAACACCTTCCTGAGTTTTCAACAAATGGGTGGAAGGTGTTACATTTTTCTAAGGACATTTAAAAGAAAGGAGGCACACCGGTTTCCAGCAGGTGTGGCTCCTATGTTAGATGGTGACCATACTGACGTCAAAAGACGGCTTTAAAAAAAATTCATAACTGGGGCCTTATCTCAGTCTTGGCAAACCAAAACACCCTCTAGAGTCCCCGACTCCTGGTCCACGGCAGGTAAAACCTAAATTTACAGAATTTCCATCAACACCTTCCTCTGTTATCGAAAAATGGGTGGACGATTTACTTCTAAGGACATTCAGTCTCCAGCAGGTGTAGCAAGGAGTTTGTGCCAATCACCAAAGCACTCCAACAGCATAACATCCCCTACAGGTGGGCCTGCCCCACAAAAATCCTGGTGACCTACCAAAATCAGATGGTGCCCATACTGACGCCAAATAAGGCTTTCAACAAATGTATACCTGGAACCCTCCAGAGTCCTTGACCCCTGGTCCCTAGAGGGTAACACCTAAATCTGCAGGATTTCCTCCATCATCTGCTTCAGTTATCGAAAAATGGGTGGAAGATTTACTTCCTTCTAAGGATCTTTAGTCTCTGGCAGGTGTAGCAAGGAGTTTGCCCCAATCACCAAGAGCATAACATTCTGTACAGGTGGGACTACCCCATGAAAATCATGGTGACCTACCAAAATCAGATGGTGCCCATACTGACGTCAGAAGAAGGCATCCAGTCACACTGGATGATATCCGTAATGGGACTCCTAGACCTCTGAATTCTGACACGTTTCGAGGGCTTGCCTCTTCATCAGAGCCTCTATATGTT